CCCCCCAAACACACACACACACAATTTGCTCTTTTTTATCATTTACCCTTCTTCATTTCCAAAGAAATATACCCTTATTCATGGCTCAGAGCTACCAACACAAACAAGAACCGGAAAAGCAAAAGACTATTTCATGTTGGTCTGATATTTCTAGCTAGTTACGTCAAGAAAGGTACAGTATATTATATCACCTCAACTTTTGCATAAAACTTCCCCACGGAAAAGGACTTTATCCAGGACTGATACAAGACACGGGAATAAGTGGCTATTTGTCACACCAAAGAAGGTATCATCATAAAATATTATTATCGACAAAAACATACACTATCATTGCATTTACGCTAATTATTTGACAATCTAACATCAAGCAAACCACCCTTCAACAGAACCAAAACGAACTTCAAAATCTAATGCTAAATTCAAACCAACTGGAATGCTCAGAATATCCATCTCAAGCTGTTTTATTGTGGTTGACTTTTTTCAGTTCCCACTGATTCCTCCCCCTTGGTACGGCCAGCAACAAGATCAGTAGTTGTTTTCCCAATCTCAACTATAGTTTCGCCAATGGCTTGCAATACCACTGCTGCTCCCTCCTCCAACTGCTTGCCTTTCTCTCCTCCTCCTGATTCTTCTTGAATGGACTCTTTAACTTTCTCCATTGGTTTGACTCCGCTTTCTTTTTCCTCCACCTTTGTTTCTTCCTACAAAATATTTCAGGATTCATATATGGCAGTACAAAAATTATTAGCAAAATGAATCATTAACTCGACACTACGTACTGTTTTAAAGAAAACCAATTACCGTTTGTTTACCTTGGTGTCGTGTGATCTCTTAGCTTCTAATTCTCTCTCTGCNTACTGTTTTAAGGAAAACCAATTACCGTTTGTTTACCTTGGTGTCGTGTGATCTCTTAGCTTCTAATTCTCTCTCTGCTTCTGCCTTTTTCCTAGCTGCATACTCTGCTGCACTTTCTTCAGCTGAAACTACATAATCCTTTGCTGCAACCAACTTATCCTCTGCATATCCAACTGTTTTCTTCCCAACATCAGCAACCACATCCTTCGCCGCCACCGCTTTATCTCCCGCATACCCCGCAACAGTAGAAGCAACTCCAGCCACTGCTTTAGTAGCATCTGCAGCTTTCTCTGCTGTAAAATGTGCAGCTCCCCAACCTGCCACTACTGCCTTTTCCTTCACTGTTTCAGCTACTTTCCCTACATATCCTACTGCACCTTTCCCTGTTTCCACTGTTACATCTTTAACTTTAGCAGCTTTTTCTCCTACATAGCTTGTTGCACTCTTACTCTTTTCTTGAACACTCTCTTTTGCAACTGAAGCTATCTCCACTGGGGAAGGAGCTTCTATTTCCTTAGCCTCCTCTGTTTTTGGGACAACATATTCTTTAGTCTCCCCTGCCTTTTGAGCAACATAATCTTTAGCTTGTTGTGCTGATTGTACTGCAGTTTGTCCAGCGCTTGAAAGGGTATCTTTAGTTGCAGCATAAGCTTGTTGGCCTTTCTCAAGGGCAGTATCCTTAGCCACTCCAGCTTTTTCAGCAACATATTGAGTTCCCTTTTGAACACCTTGAGTAACAGTGTCTTTAGCTTGTGCACCTTTTTCTGTTGAATAAGTACCTGCAGCGCCAAGTCCATGAGTTGCCGATTCTTTAACACTCTGCAATGTGGAGGCGCCCTTTTCCTTGGCCTTCTCGTAGCGCTCTTCAGCTGCCCTTATTGCTTCCATGGAATTCTGTTGTGCTGTGCCCCTGTATTGAGATATTTCTTCCAAAGATGGACCTTTTGTCTCTTCTGTAGTACCATGAGTTACTCCCCCTGCTCTGCTTTCATCTTGGCCACTTGCTTGTGTTTCTGTCTCTTGTTGGCCACCTGCAAATGGCGAGAATATTGTTAAGGGTGTTCAAATTTTTAACATGTGTATACAAAGTACTCCCCCTGTTTCAATGTCTGTTTGAACACGTTAGTTTAACGTTTAAATTTTTTATTTTTAAATTTTTCTAAATAAAGAAAAAAAGGACTTACAATTTGTGCCAGTCTTTTAAAGAAACTGAGGGAGCAGTAATTGACCTCATATATTCTTCGAGCAAGAATGTTCTAAGTTCTAACTTCTAAGTGATCACCCTTTATTAGACTTGTATACTGTGTTAGTTATATACACACAGTATAGGCATTATATTTGAATTACAGACACAATATAAGTAATTTATTTTACTTATATACACAAACGCTATAAGTAGAATCTTTGCTATTAAAGAGTATTCAGTAAGAGTATTCAACTGATCACGCCGCTAACCTGTACCAACTCCTCTACTTTGTTGCATGGAACTAATGCCTTGGCCACGAGATTCACCTTCCTGCTTTTGCATTTGGGTTTCTCTGCCTGTGTCTGAACCCTTTTGTTCTTGGCCAAGAACTTCAAATTTGACGCCACCTGGTCTCTCTTCAAATCCCTGTTGGCTTCTCCCCTGATTAACAATCTCAGAACTCTTAGCTTGATCAGTAGAAGACTGCTTCTCCCTTTGAGCTTGCTGCATTTGTTGAGACTGTTCCCCTTTGTCCCCTTGATCAGTATCAGTAGTAACAGTGCTCTTGACATGAATAGCACCAGGACCTGCAGGATGGACATCGGCTGCACCTTGAACTTTCTCAGCTAGTGACTCAAAATGGCTAGCCATTTGGGGAACTCTATTTTTCTCGAGGTTGATTTCACGTTCATCAGTAACGTTCTCTCTTTTCTCTTGCTGTGAAGCCATTGTGTTAAACAGAACTAGTAGTTTAGTTGGTTTAGTTTGGTTTTGGTTTGTAAAGCGTTTTGAAGTATATGAATGAGACTTGACTTCAGAAACGATGCCTTTATAAGAAGGAAATGTAGAGAAGTTCAAAGAATTAAGCAATGGAACAGGGTCAGGATTGGGATAACTATTTCATGAGAATTGACAGGTGGTTCGATATTGGCTATAGGTGAGCAATTTCTCATGCAACGTGGGGAGAATATGGAACTGTATGACTCAGCAGCTGGATGCTAACGTGTCGTTATGTCGTAGTGTGTTACTATTTGTCCTGCAATAGCTTAGTCCAAAGGTTATCTTAGCTGGATAAGAAAAAGGGTTATCTTAGCTGGATATTTAAATTAATTACGAGTGGAGAACTACATACAATTTTATCTCGTTGAAGAAGTACTGTTGAAATGGTACATAACTACTTTGGTAATGTATATAAATATGTAAGTGCAATGCAACGCTTCTCAGTTTGGATCTCCTATTTCTCAAGTACTTGTTACTAGGAGGTAAAAAGTTATTTTACGACGATAAAAACGATCATATTTATTACTGATCAGAAAAACATCAATTTTCTACTAGGTGCATGTGCTTCAATTATCTGATAATCATAATTTTTGGAATAGATTAACAAATATATTACTATTTAGAAAAAGCTTTAATATACCAGAATTATGAGTTCTTAAAGTTATTGAGTTTCTAATTTAACTCACCCACCACCGATTGAGTCGTCTGAACAGCTGAACTTCGTGCTTTTAAACTATGGTTTACCTTACCTTACCTTAAGTAGATAATCAACTAATACCGAGTTACTCGAGCTTTCTTTCTTTCCTCCTCAGATTGCCCTCTTTTCGAGGAAAACGTTCTATTTAACCTTACTTTTTTCAGCGACTAGAATTCATATGATGTATTTTAAAAACTCTTGCTAGACCTTCTGTACAATAAAGAAATGATTGGACCAATAAGGATATAAGTACTTTTTATTCTTAACAAGAAATTTCGGATTCGAACCAAAGTATAAAATCTTTGTTAAGAATTGTTTTTATCTTCCAATGTACTCCTCGGCTGAATTTAGTCGAACCCCAAAACAAAAAAGAAATAAATGATTGGTCTTCGACGGCTGAGCAGAAAAGCAGAGGCAGAAGAAGGCCAAACGCAGTAAATTCTACTATCTATAAGAGGGAGTTAGCAGCTGGACAACAATTCTAAGGCATTATGGTCATTTCATGAAAAACGGAGTAATTTCATTGGTCCAAAAGAAATTTTACTGTAATTGCTGAATTAAATTTTGAGTGTCCCGATTAAAAATGCCCCTTTATGGGTCTCACTTTGTTACTCTAAAGTCGAGACAAGCACTGCTTCTACTGTCGCTATTTCAATCTGAAAGCGTGGGCACAGCATTGAGACACATGTACTTCCCCTCCTTTTGGGCTTCTTCGTTGATACATTAGTTGTTTTTTGGTTAATTCTTCTTTCATCTATGCTCGTTAATTCTTTTGGTATTTTTTGTAATAGTGTCACAAAAACTTGATTTTTTTATTGATAGATTGTGTTGGTTTCATATGTTAACAAAGCTAATTTTATTATTCAAATGTTACTTTGTTATACTAGAGGTTCAAAATTTTAATTAATTAGTATGCTTATTTACGAGTTAACTTAAATTTAGTATCATCATTAAAATGAACATAACTAATCAATGTCTTACTTAGTTTAGCAAAAACTTTGGTTAATAATCACCAATTAATGATAACTCAATTTCTTTAGCATAATACAAATTAGACTAAAAAGATTCCAGCTAAAGTAAGAAAAGGGAGAAAAATGTCATTTCATAACATGCATTTTAAAGGAAAAGAAAAGTTTACCGCAACAATAACAATAACAAATATTATACCTCAATCCCAAATAAGTTGGGATCGACGATATAAATCCTACTTCCTTTCGTTAAGCTCAACTCATTAATTTATGTTTGTAATAATAAATTATGTTTGTTAAAATTTTCAATATATTTTGTACGGTCTTATTTTGAAAGAAAGCTTACAAGCATTTCGATATTAGAATCTGATTTTTAGATTGTCAAGGTTATGTTTACATTTAATTAAGTTCATTACTTATTTATGGGTTAATGCAAAAAAAACTTGTAGCTTATTATACTTTTGAAGTTTCTTGAATATCGAATATTTTTGGTGAAGAAAGGCATAAGTAAGATTTGATTAGTCTAGAAAGGGAAGTTCAATCAATGTACATTTTAATTTGAATTTGAAGAATTTTTCGGATAATATATTGAAACTCCAATTAAATAAAAGAGCAAAAGAAACTTTCTTCATGCATTTGTTTCTTCAATAAACTCTATATGGGTTCCAAAATTTATCATAATATATATTTAGTTAGAAACGTTTCAGTTAAACGAAGCAAACTGGTAATTTATAACTTCCATTTTTTCAAAAAATATAAGTGTAAAGTGAAAAAAGTATTCCCCACTATATTTATGTTAAGTTGTTAAATGGGAGGGTTCTAGGAAAAGAAAAGGAAAATGTTAAAAAGAATGGAGAGAAAAAAAAGTAAACCCAAAAAAAAAACAGCAAACCTAAAAATAAATTAGGGAGGAACAACCGAGGAAAAAAAAGTTGCTTCCATGATTATTCTTACTGCTCTAGGACAAAGCTACTGAAATTTAATTTCCTATTAAGTGCATTCAGCATAAACCTTTGCTCGAAATTAGAAGAAATAAAACAAGCTCTTTAAAACAAAGACAATAGCAAAATGTATTACTATTAGGAATTAGGGAATGCACCAATATCCAACATACAAACGAATTACTCAAAACTGAAATTGTTGGGCCAGTGTTTTTGCACGGGCGAAACTTATCTAGTTTGTTGATAAAAATAAGAGCTGTATGAATTATTGGATCCAACATCAGTACATCACTATGCACAACAGGCGTAGATCGTCATGCTTGTTCAACAAAATATTTTGTTTACCCGTAAAATGGTACAGTTGAATTTATACATGATTTCTAAACAAGTGAACTAATTTGATCCTGAAATAATGTAATAATTGAAGAAATGTACAATACTTAGCCTTAAAATGTAGATGAAACAACAGAGATGACAGTTCTGGGAACAAGGTTTCCGGGCACAACAATGATGAGATCAAAAAGCAGGAAAGTAAGATTGTATTAAGCTTTATACAGAATGTAGTGTAAGTTTAGCCAGAAAACCGTGTCCTTTCCAATGATAATTGGGCTCACTATTTATAGTTGTGTCTAGGGAAGGAGGTCCCGTGATCATTCCCTCCTTTGATGTCAATTATGAGGGTCATTGATGAAGATGTAATGGTGAACATAAATGTCAAATTCTATATAACGGGTCGTCTGTCACGATCCGAAATTCCCACCTCCGGACCGTGATGGCGCCTAACATTTCACTTGCTAGGCAAGCCAACGTTAGAATAACATTATCCATTTTTAAAATAATTTTTAAATTTATTAATAACAAGGAAGCAAATGCGGAAGCAATTTTAAAATAATCCATAATAATAACGGTGTCTAAATACCATCCCATAATTGGTGTCATAAGTGCACGAGCATCTAGAATAAATATAAATAAAGGTCTGAATAAAATAAAGCTGTCTGGAAATAAACACACAACTAAAGTATAATAGACGGGGACTTCAGAACTGCGAACGCCATGCAGTTATACCTCAAGTCTCCTCTGATAGCTGAAATCCGAGCAAGTCTATGGTACGCCGCTCGGACCAACTCCAAAATCTGTACAAGAAGTGCAGAGTGTAGTATCAGTACAACCGACCCCATGTACTGGTAAGTACTAAACCTAACCTCGACGAAGTAGTGACGAGGCTAAGGAGGTTTACTTACATTAACTTGTACGCAATATAAGTAACAACAACAATAATAGGAAAAAATTAGGTAATTCATTTATAATAATTGAAGGCAACTCAGCAGTCATAACCAATTATCATTTCCATTATTTCTGTTGCAGTGTGCAACCCTCTCTCACAATATATCCAAATTCAGTTCTATTGCGGCGTGCAACCCGCTCCTCCAATATATTCATTTTAATCAAGTCTATTGCGGCGTGCAACCCGATCCTCCAATATTGACTTTTAATAAGTCTGTTGCGGCGTGCAACCCAATCTTCCAATATTGACTTTTAATATGTCTGTTGCGGCGTGCAACTCGATCCTCCAATATAGACTTTTAATAAGTCTGTTGCGGAGTGCAACCCGATCCTCCAATATTGACTTTTAATAAGTCTGTTGCGGCGTGCAACCCGATCCTCCAATATATTCATTATAATCAATCATGTTGCGGCGTGCAACCCGCTCCTCCAACATTTTCATTTACCAATTCTTATAGAAGAAATTTTCCCAATAAATGTAACAATTAATATAAAATTACAAGACAACAAGCATACAATAATTATGGTTTAATTATGAAGCAAACAATGACAAATAGCAAATTATTATGGAAATCAGGGAGCAAATAGGCAGTTTAATATTTATTATGCTAAATGTCAAATAACAATTAAGGCACATAATTCAAATAGCATATAACAATTAATGCAGGAATTCAAGAATTTATATTTGCAAAGAATAAGAGAGAAATAATTTTTATAATAATTAATTTATAATTTTTCAAGTAAGCAGGCAAACAATTAATTTGACGACGTATAGACACTCGTCACCTCGCTTATACGTCGTTTACATGTAATTCACATAACAAACAATTTAAGGGTTCTATTCCTTAAAGTCAAGGTTAACCCTGACACTTACCTCGCTTTGCAAATTCCAATCAATTATTCAACCACAGTTTTTCCTTTTAAATTTGCCTCCGAAAGCTTCAAATCTATTCACAAACAATTCAATATATTCAATACTAATCATAGGAATTAATTCCATATGAATTTATAAATTTTTCGGATAAAAATTCGAAATTATTAAAATATTCGGCAGTGGGATCCACGTCTCAAATCCCAGAAAAACTCGCGAAATCCGAACACCCATTCCGATACGAGTTCAACCATACCAAATTTGTCCAACTCCGATATCAAATGGACCTTCAAATC